TGATTTGAATGATCGTCTTGGCAACAATATGGTCAGATTCACGACTGCTAGCCCATTGGTTATGGATTCATGGTCTGATGTCAAGAGCGGTATGAAACCATCATGTGCCGGAATCAATGCGGTTTCCACATGTCAAGAAAATGCAATCAAGAGTGATGTGTCGTGTGGTGAAGACAAGTCTGCAGCAGTAGATCGAGCCAATGCAGTGCGTGGATTCATACGTGGCATTGCATTGCAAAAACTTGCATTGTTGGACTGTACATCATCTAATCTTGAACAGCAATATCAAGGTAACCAAAAAACACAGCTACTGCAGCAACTTGATCGTGTTCGTGAAGCCACGGCAAAACTTGAATTGCAGTTCAAATCGCTATCATGTCGTGCCAAGCAACTAGGCAGCTGTGATGCCAAGATTGGTGAGTGTAAAGGTGTTCAAGATAATACACGCTTGGAACGACGATGGTGGGGAGCAGGATCAGGAGCTGGATACGGTGCAGGAGTTGCTGCGGGATATGGTGTAGGCATGTAATAATTGAATCTACCCATTTTTTGTTAGCACACCTAAAAAGCTTATTATACCCAGACCGGGAATTTTCCCATGCTTGATATATTTTTGCAATTCTGTTCACACTTTGACATAATAAACTCAACTTGCATGTATGTGAATTTGTAATATTGACTTGAAGGATGTTTAAGCTATTTTATTATTTGTTGGAATGGATTGTAAAGCTGTATTTGATTCGAATGTGGGAATAAAACCTTGCAGTTGAGGAATATAAAAGCCAATACACTATCTTTATTGATCAACCAATCTTGGCTATTTATAAAATGCATCTGTTTACTATTATAACTGCAGTGATGGTGCAGATCGCAGCAGCCATTCCATCTTATACTACTATGGGTTACACGACTGAGAAACGCGATTTGGGCACAGGTTGTCCATACACTCTTGATCAATATGGGACTGCTGCGATGCAGTTTCATACCACCATGCAGCAACAACAAACAGCCATTCAAGCACAAGTTCAGGCCACTGCTACTGCCATAGCAACCAATGGCGTAGCTATTGCTTCGGCCAATGCTGTTGGTGGTGCAGCCGCGGCACCAGTGGTTGATCCATCTGTATACTGGGCTCAGTGGCAGAACTGGAATACCAATCTGGCTAGTTATGGAAATGTTTTGTGGAATGCCGGCTGTTTGTCTACTTACTGGGACAACGATAGCAATTATTATAATGCAATGATTGCTCTGCAGCAAAATCTCGCACTTCAGGTAACTTTAAACTCGAAGGGTTGAGTTACTATTCTAAATATTAACATGTAAACCCATTATAGAATCAGGCTATTTGGAATAATATAGCCGCTGCTAATCAGCAAGCTGCAGCACATGCCAATGCGCTGTATCTACAGACTGCAACCCAAAATGCGCTGACAACATTCAATTCGGCAGCATGCCAGATTAATACAGCGTATGGAGCACAGTTGAGATGGAATAGTGTTTCGGGAACTTCATGGAACTGTTGAGGCTTATATTGAACTGAATTCCTTGGCATATCATCCAATATGCAGAATGATTAAATAAAGTTTGAAGTTGGTTCAGATCTTGTCGATATATTATCATGACATTGGCTGAGCGGTAAGTAGTGTTGGCTAGAATGATAGTATTCAGCCATTGCTACGTGTAAATGGTTTGTATTAACGATGCTCATGCTGCATTCGCCTCAAGGTTTGCATTGATTGAAAGGGATAGAGCTGTTGCTGCCAAGACTCGAGCAGTTCATCCATCATCCTCTACAACTGTTCAGAAAAGACTTGAGCCATCCACTTTTAACAAAAGACTTGATGCAAAGACTGCTGCAACTCTCTTGAAGCAGCAACAACAGACTGGTCATAAAATGTCCAATTCTGCTGCCAGTATGATGACCAAGCAAAGTAATGGTCGTACTAAAGCATCCAAGACCATTTCAGTGGTCAAACCCCTTGTAAAGCGTCTTGGACCCAAACCAGGTCCAATTGAGAATCGTCTTGGCAAGCGGCTTATTGACCGGTTAGGTGATAAACCCACTGCTGCTGGAAAGACTAAAGCTGTATTACGCTCCAAGAAAGCAGGAAAGGTATCCAAGACTATAGTATCCAACTCGACTCCTAAAAGCAAGACTCGAGGACGTGTTGCTAATATTGGCTCATCCAGTTATTCTGCAGCAGATATGATGGATGATGACGATTACAAATTTGGTCAAGCTGCAATATATTAATTCTCGATATTTCAAGATTATAATTAGACTGGTTCATTACTATGGTTGCAGCTGTGGAGTGGATCTCTATTGCAGTGTGGATGGATGCGCAATCATTACTGCACGATAAGCCTTCAACATGCTTCGACTCGTGCATTACAAAGTATCGGGTGAAATTGCAATAGATTCAAGTGGTGCATGTGTTGCTTGATCAACAGACTCACCCCAATCACTTGCCGGATCTTGTTGATCAGTAGTTGTTGCATACTCGATAGAAAGCCGAGCCGATTCCTTATTAGACCGTGTCGGCTTGTCCTTGTCTGAATCAAAACAAATGATGCTATCGGCTGCATATACTTTTGTCTCTGTGGACTCCTGTTTTTGCTGATGTGCACAATCGCACAAGTCTTTTAGCTCGTCTTTATGCGTATTGACATACTTGACGGCTGTACATGCCGCTGCTTTTTTGGCATCGCGTTGCCCAGTGCCGAGACATTGAGCCAATACCATGTTGTGATACGTGATAGTGGCGGTAGTACCTCCATGTAGACCATATTCATATCTGAATGTTTTGTTTTTAAAAATAGTTGGATTTCAGTACTTTTTGGCAATTGTATTCAACAGAAATGCAGACAATAGATTTGTAGTTGTCAAATTTACCCGACAAAAAACATACGTGTAATCTATCTTGACACATTTAAACAATGAATAGGACAAGGTTCGCAATTCAGCAACTGGGTTCTCGTATATCATTGATTCTCCACCAAACAGCGATGTGAATCGCCACCACCAAGGTGAGATCACTGTGATGTCAAACATGCTTTGCACGCAGTGTATATCAAATTGAGAATCTACAAATACAGCACCTAGCATGGACTCGTAAACATCACCTGCAGTTTTTGGTGCTGTATTTCCCTTGTTCCAAAACAATCGAGCAGAGGCAATTTGAGTAGCTGACGTCGATATTGGTAATGAAGTAGATGATTCAGATGCAAGATAGCCTTGAACCCATGCAGTAAACCGCCCGATTGCTGCTTCCATAGTCATATCTGTATGGCGTATATACTTTACCAACCCAATTTGAATCGACACACATGCCAGAAATTGATTGCAAACAAGCTCAGCGCGAAGTTTTGATAATCCACCTGGATTCAACGGTGGTGTAATTTTATACAAATGTTGCATTGCAAGGTAAGAAAGCACTGCATCTCCTAAAAATTCAAGCCGTTGAAATATGCTACCCAGTTTTCCCGTTCCTGAATGGTTATAGTCCATGATATCAACGAGTTTATGCATACTACTTACACCACACACACCAAACCGACTCAGTGATATGCAAGTGTTGCAGTTTGACCAAATCGCAATCACCCATATTGTCGACTGTCTAACTCGTTGACATTCAAACCGTGCAATCACTAGTCACAATATAATGGTTGACTGGTTCGTTTGATTGATCTGACATTGACACTTTGCAAACCTTGACTTGATTCATCAACTTGGATATTCATATAATATTGGGTTTGTATCATCACGTTGGACTCGTTATCAAACACCTTGATGTGTCTATGCAACACAAACTCGATATACACACATTAGTTACTGTTTGACATGACTGGGTCGATCATACATACCAGACAATGCAACTGTATTAGTTGTATGATACAATCAATCATGGTTGACTCATCACTATCAAATATCAAATGTTGATCACGTATACATTGATTTGTAATTGCATGGTCCGTTGGCAATACACACTATGATATGATTGACAAGTTGTTGATTTGCAGTAATCAGATGTGCATCACCTGTAACATTGGATGCAATTGACGAGTTGTAACCGCTAGTCAACAATCATCGATATGTTAGTGATTGTATTGACTACATGATTGGTATGGATTAGCTGTCATGATCGATTGGTGGACAATACAATACACATTGATTATGACGTGTCGCAACTAGTTGATATATGCAGACTCGACTGATAATCGACTATATGTTGATTTGTAACTCTGTCACTGTTGGTTTGGATCGGTCATTGCTACTGCTTGTATATGCAGTGTATACATGTGTGATGTATTGGATATCGGTGTTGTGTATGTTGAACCTGTTGGACAATATATTGTCATGTTGTATCAAATCGCACCATATTTAGAATGCAATCAGTGATTCGTTGGTTTAGTGATCGACTCGACTCACATTCGACTGTAATGTTCACAAATATGCATTGCTGATTGACACGCATATATCGACATGTATCAGACTTGAACATGGTGTATATCAGTTGCATATACCAATCACTGATGCAATTGATGATGATCGACTAGTCAATCAATTGGATATCAACACCAATGTCAGTTAATTACCACATGAATACTTGCAGTTGTGACCTGTATTCAGTCAGTAATGTTGTTGTATGTCGCGACTTGGTGCAACATACATCATGATATGTTGGACAATTGTATTGCAATACAGTCAATGGCATGCTGGTGATTTGTTGTGCTGTCTGACTGTATATATGGTGTCGATCAGTGTCAATCAGTAATGCATTTGTATTGGTCATGACTTGCGTGCAGTAATCTGGCAGTATCGTGATGTATGATACCATGATCAATGCAAAACACCATTTGATCAAGCACGGTAATTGTGATTGTGATTACAATCTAGAATTGTGTGTGGAATACAATCAGAATCACAGTTGGCAGGATATTGGGTGACTTTGTGTGAAATAACCATTATTGGTAGTTCAACCTGGATATACACAAAAAACAACCGACTGTTGCATAGACTGTATTTGAATTTGCATGATAGCAAGTCGTTGGATAACCCGACCTGTATACAAATTGACTGATAAATGACAAATGGGACCAATCTAAACAGTGCACAGATGGATGCTGGTCAAAAAACATGACCAATTGAACAATCAGTCAAATACTTGGCATACAATGACAGTGTATGCTGTGGTAATGGATTGTAGATGCGATGATAACTATCCATAATGGCACTACCTGATCACTGGATACATGACCGCAATTGGAGAGATCAACACAACATACTACCGAGGTTAATTATACACCAACAGTGATGCTTGTATATTGATTCACCCTATAAGGTGTATTTGGCTTTTTCTAAATATCCATTTGGAGATTTCTGATTGTCACCCTTGAAACTGCCGTCATTATAAAACGGCAGTCATCTACCAGATTCAACCCATTTTCATCACACTACTCGATACAATGCTGATTACTCTAGAATGCGTTACAAGTGGTTGCTGCAGTTCGACTTGCATTAGAATCACCTTTTGAAATTGACAGTCAATCAAACAATAGGCTGTCAAAATGATCACCCGTTGAATTGGATGGTGATATCAAGAAATGTTACACAATGAGATCCAATGTTGATGGAGTCGGTGTATGTATCATGCCATTTATTGTAATGTGTGTGATATGTTCAAACCGTGCATGTATTGGATCAGTTTAATATAGTATACTGCTGCAAATACCATGATTATTACATTCCATTAGTATGTGTGATCATATTGCACCAATCGACCAGTATACAATTACTGTATACATCAACATGTGCATAATGACCATATTGTTGGCATTGTATATTCAACATGTGATATTTGATACACGACAAAGTTGATACTGCGACTGATGTGTGTGATCAGTCAGGCTATTGATGCAACCATTTTGATACCACAATCAACGAGTCAAACCAGTCAAATTGGTCGGATCTGATATCAACACACATGACTATTGTTGGTATTGGTATTGCATGTGCCAATACGACATGTCAAGAAATATCATATCGACACAATACACACATGCATGTCAGCATCATCAATGTGTACAACTATGCAATATATAATCAACTGTATTGTATTGGAAATACAAGTGTCAATGTAAAATATGATATCATGTCAACCAAGACTGTGTACAATAATCAGATATAATGCATGCACATACAATTTTATTGTAAATTAAACCATAATGACAATTGAATCGGTTGAAATCAGTCCAGATTAGCATTTAAATCAATTGAGTGGATCGTCACGTTTGGGTCGTTTAAAGAATGATCCCAATCCATCCATAAGCTTGGAAAACCCTTTCCGTTTATTGGAGGGAGCTTTCTGTCTAGAGGATCCAGATCCAGATTCTTCATCTGATGATTCTTCGTCCGATGATTCTAAATCTTTGTGTTTTCGTCGACCACCAGATTTTTGATCAAGATCCTTGTTTTTTAATGATTGCTTTTCAAGGTAATTTTTAGCGGAAGGCGTTTCTTTGATAAGCGAAGCTTGGTGAGCAACTGTTGCAACATTCATAGTGGCTCCGAAAACGAGACTCACAATCTGTTGATCGGTCTCCCATTCTTTTTCTACAAGATCACCAAGCTTGGACTCGCACTCAACAAATTCTTTTCGAAATTTGCCAAATTCGAAATATTGAGCTTCAAGATCAAGCTCAGCCTTTTGAATTTTTTCATCGTGCTCTGGATCGCCACCTTTTCTTTGAGGTTTCTTTTCCAGAGTTTCAAGCTTTTTTTCCAAGCGCTTTACCACCTTACGTTGACCCTCATATCGAGATTTTAACAACTCGCATATTTTTCTTTGCTGTTTACGATCATGATCTATCTCTGCGTATTTTTCGAGCAATTCCTTGACGTTACCTGGAAGTGGATCAAGACCATCTAAGCCTATACCGTTTGGATTAGGAGTTGACGAGGTGCTAGACTCGGTGCTTGTAGTTGCACTGGGAATGACGGTTGAAGTGCTAGTTTCAACATCTGTAGTTGCACTGGGATCGATTGGATTGGCTGTAGTAACCGAGCAAGCAAGCAGGATCGATGACAATACAGCAACTGCGAGTTTCATTGTATTGGTTTGGTTGAGCAAGTTGCAATGTCATTCAACAGGTCGGGTTTTGAACTGTATTTATATCCATTATTGAATAGATAACATTAAAAGCATATCCCTTGAATAACCGTCCTAAGGGGTTGACTTTATTGTCAGGGTTGGTGTTGATTTGTGATTTGTGATCAATTTCAAACTTTGAAGGGATCTCCCTTTATATGTTGATCCACAATTTTGATTAAGCCGCTATTTGATCATACGCTCAAATATCATATGGTTGATTAAAAGCTTCACCCTGAAAAGGGTTATGGTCAAGGGTCAGGGTTAAGAAATGAGCATAAACCAAAACTGAAATGAGTTGACACTCGGCTATTAGTTGGTCATCAATATGTGCCGTGATATTCCATGTTTATTAAAGTAGCAAGTGATTGGCACGATTCAACGTACAAGTAGTGTATAGTGAGCATCGGATGATACTGTTTTACTTGAACAAGAGTGCTAAATCCGTTGGAATAAATATAATTTAGTCGTCTATTTCTGTACTACATTTTACACCCTCATTGTTACACAACATCAAATGTCTACAAAAACGGCTGGAAATGGAATGTGTTTGTAGGAATACAAAACATCATACACAAAATGACAGCAGTATTGCGTACATACAAATCAAAGTATGCTATCATGATTGCCAACGGATTAATTAAAAACAACTTTATATCCAACTTGCCCATCAACAACCAACAACTCTGTTGGAGTTTTGTGTAATCTGATTTATATTAATTTAAATGGAGGTGTGTGTATGATCTGTAACTGTTAGTAGTTGACAGAAAATAACAAATCAAAAGTGTAATGGGTGTTGCACAATAATTCAGGATCAGCAGATTTGGAGTTTTCAATGATAATGAAAAGATGTAATAAAACAATAATATGTTGAAATGGTTGGAAGAGTCATTTATTAATAAATATGAGTTATAGTCAGTCTTGTAGTAATTGATTGTTTGTATCTTGGTGACACACAAGTAGAATGTATGATGAGCAATCAGAAAAGTAAATTGATCAATAGGTGTAATTCCTATTGTTTACCAAGTCAAATAGTGGAATTATGGCACACAAACATTGGTGATACGAGTCCCTTGGATCATCACATATTACCATTTAGTATTCTGCATGGATACTCGACACATTTGGTAGTCATACATTGTATGGTCACCAAGTTTGAACCCACATTCATGTATTGTGTTGGACTGTCAATGTTGTCAATACAACTCTGTACACACATTTGTTGTATTCTGAATCACGGATACAATCGCAATCTAATTCAACAACAATCATGACACATGTCAGTAATGCAACTGTTGTTTGCATGCCAATCACCACCAACAACACCACTGTATTGTCAATCAGTCCATGACACTGGCTGTTTATTACACACCAACACTGTTAGTGTTCCGTTTACATGACTAGACTGCAAGTTGTCGTATTCGTTTCTGTAGATTTGAAATTGTTGGTAATCGAGTTTTGACATTCAATTCGTGCTGTTTTTGTATATTTTTGTATATTGCTGGACATTCAACTCAACGTCTTGTTCCAAAGTAGACATGTGTTTGATGTCATGTTTGTATAATCGAAATAGGAATCCAGCTTGCCAAGTAAATGCTGCAAGACTCTTGACAACCAGTCATGTACAGTATTGAGTCGGATGTTCATACTATTGATAGCATGACAATTGACAGTTCAAGAGTTCTGTTGAAGCTTTTCTAATCATTGGCAATACTTTGAGTTTGCGTATTGAAAGTATTATAGTTGGCATAAAGTATTGATACTGCTGATATGACCATCAATCCATACTGCATTGAACAGGACTGCAGCACAGTGCCATATCACTAGATCAAGTGTTGAGGCAGAGTCGTTTGAAGGATTTTACCACTAATATTTGGCCAGCTGTTGTGTGGATAAACTGTTACCCTATACTGACCGTAACTTGAAACTGAATGATTATGCCAATCGATCTTGACATATTTTTTAGTATATGTATTAGGGTCACCATTCCTTGACTATGAGTCATGTTTCATTTAATGGTTGAAAGGCTGTGCATAAAACAGCCTACACATGAGTATATGTGCTACATATACCTAAATGGCGGTCGAGTTGTTGCTGCATAAGCTCATATAACCCGTATGTCTTGATCATATATTTAATCGCTATGAAGGTATGGTTCATATCCACAACTGACCCATTCATTACCAAGAATTGTCCTACTAATTGACAAGCTTTATCACATTCATTCTCGTCGACAGGATGAAATTCATATCGACTATTGTGTTGTTGCTGTTGTCGGTGACAGTCAGTGCGGTAGTCATTGATCGTCCATCTGCCAGCGAATCAGAACCTGTAAAAGAATGTTCAACACACATGCAGCAACACACTGGTATTTGTGCTTCAACTGGAACAGAGCAACAATCAACTGGAACCAATCATGATGTAGCTCAGTCAACTGTAGATTCCGATGATTCAGACAGTTCTGTTGAACAGTCCAATTAATCATCGTCATACTCTCAGTCCAAACAGTCAGATGATGATATATTTGACAACACACTATACGACGACGTCTGCCATTTTCCTAAAAACTATATCCCAGATAACAAACGGCCCATTCTCACACATCAGCAAAGGCTGGATAGAGTCGAAAAAAGAATGAGGAATATGGGTATGGAAATTCCAACTGATGTTGGAGACGGATATCCGCACAAGATGAGCACCAAGGCAAAGGAAAGAATACTAGAAGCTAAACAAAAGGAGCGTAGAATGAGCTCATCTGATAAAAAGAAATTCAGGAAACTGAGACTAGGAAGATTATGGGTGTGTCGCAAGTTGGCTCTTGAACCTATCGAAGAAGAATCAATCAGAGTTGTATCTGAACCTACTCCAGAATTAAAATCCATCTTGAAACCCGGATCTACTTTTAAACCCCACGGCTCAAAACACGATCATTCTAAAAAACATCAGCAAAAGTCAAGTCACGATGCTGGTTCAAGGGAAGCTAAAGTACACTTTGTACCAACGACTAAAATTGCTAGATATTCAAGTGAATCTAGTGTACTGCAAGAATATGATATTCAACTTCCTTCATTACGTTCAAAGTTTAATAGATTCAAACGACAGATGCTGAGGTTCATTGGATATAGAAGGCATACTTGAACATTTCTACGCAAACCACCATAACTAAAAGTGTATAGTAAATCAATGTTTGGACACTCGACTGTTTGGTAATTCAATTTCATTGTAAAACTGGAATCACGCTATCAACAACCTTGTTTAGAGTATGTTGTACTGCAGTGTGTATATATGATTTATACTGTCAATTTGCATTTGTCATGTAAGCATTCAGTCTTGTTTGTCCAATAAACACCTTGCATTGTCACCACCATTTCCAATGTAATAGTATGCTTGGATTGATCATATTGCACCAATCAACTACTGTGCACTGAATGTATCAGATGATGTCATGAAATGGTGGATAATATTCATAATTGAAGTATTGGCAGTCAGTGATTGAATGATACGATCGAATACCGCTGATCACTTTGTTGGTGACCAGTATCACATGTGGTCAATACCAATATGTTGCACAACAGTCATTCAAACAGGTTGGAGCATGCCACATTGTAGCAATGCAATCAAATTGGTACAACACATGCCAACATACATGTAGTGTAGTGTATTATACACTAGTAGTGATGATGCAACCAACGACATGCGTGGTTGTAATATTATACGTGAAACCACATGATCATGTCTATGATTATGATTATGGTTATGGGGACACACAGCGTTACAATGATGGGTCAGCAACAATGTGATGTAACTGGATGTGCAATACCAAAACCATGTCCAGAATACGTGATATAACGACAACTTGCAGCCATATTGATGTAAATGGACCACTAAATAACAGTGTTGATGTGAAATAAACAGTTGCATTACTGGCATGTGTCATCATTGTTGTTGAACTATATTGAGATCGTATCTGTGATTCAGAATACAACAAATGGGTGTGCAGAGTTGTATTGACAACATTGACAGTCAAACACAATACATGAATATGGGTTCAAACTTGGTGATCGTACAATGTATGATTACTAAGAGTGCACAAAGTGTAGATTCAACACTATAGTCTGATTGTGTGTCATATGATGGTTGTTGTATATCAAACACACAGTTTAGTCAATGTGTAGTAACCATTGTATATTGCAATGCAGAACACAGTCATTGCACAATGAATACAGTTGTAAAACAAAGCGTTTGCGGTTAAACAGCACTTTGAAGGGTGTGCTTTTCAATATACCTGATCAAAGGGTCGTAAAAGCATAATTCAATCGACATGATCATCAAATTAATCGATATGATATTGTGGATAGGGAGCAGCACACTGTCTAGTTTGATATTGGCCCACTACAAGCAATCAAATAACCCTGTATAATTGGTTAATCTAAAAGGGTTGGTTTGCTATACAAAAACATACAAATACAATCGATTGAGTTCAACTTTATAATAGACATCAGTCTCGACACTCTACTTTTGTACTAATCGTTTAAACCCATTGACCAGTCTGATGAAATTGGTTGATATTTTACTTGTACTGACTGCGGCAGCAACCGCCAATGCAATACTGACACCGACTGATAACGATCGTTCACCACAAGCATCAGGCACTTCCAGTCAAGTGTCTGGCTCAACCAGTGAACCTAATCCAGACACTTCAAATGAATACCAGCAAGAACCAGTGGATTTGAGTATTCACAACCGAATCCAACAACAGCCAATGGATCAACCTAATCCAAATACTCCCGGTCCAAACCAGCGACCGACTGTGATTGTAGCTGGTCCAAATATTCTCAAACAAGGCCGAAAACGCATAATTGGTGTGATTGATTTAACCACATCCGACCAAGACCAACAACAACCAACTGATGTAGCTGGACCGAGCACTCCCAAACGAGGTCAAACACAACCAATTGATCAGTCCAGCCCAAGTACTTCCAGTCAAAACCAGCAACAACCAATGGAACAAGGCGAGTCTGCCAATACTGTTCCAGATCAAGTGGCTGTATTAGGCCCAAAATATCAGAGAAGCTTTAATCGTATAAAGAAAAGGCTTGTAGAGTCTAAAGAATTACGAAACAAAAAACGCGAAGAATATTGTAAATCTATGGCTCTTAAATTTGAACAATGGTCAGCATTAGAAAGAGGAGAAGAAATATCAGGATCAAAGTACAATCCAGACACTGAAAATCAATTGAAGCAAGAGTATGAAAAGGCAAGCAGAAGAGTATACAGTATCAGACATGATCTGAAAGTGTTTATGGAAAAGCATGGTTTGAAATTTGAAGAACCGGACTCGGATTGATGATGTGTTGATGATTTTGATTTTGAATAAATTTAAACTTTCTGATGTGTGTTGGTATTTGTCGAGTATTGTGAATGGTCAACAATCATATCATTGATTGTGTATTGTGTTGGATATTACATCAATAGTTACTGGATTGTTGATTGATACATTGACACGGCTTGTTCCATATGCATCAATGACATGATAACAACCAGTGTTGATTGTAACTATCAGTCATACTTGCAATCACTTGTCAGTTGTATGATACCATCAACTGACCATGTCGTGTATTGTACAACAAACGGAGCAATACACTTGTTCAAAGTCTGTCACAAGCAAAATGTGTTTGCCATGTCACTGTCAATGTTGGAAATCACAAGACAATGTTTGATTGAAGGATTTAACACCTCATTACAAAACATCATTGCATTTTATCAATAATATACTAAAACTAACCAATACGTTAATGCCTTGCAATATATTGTGTTTGACTACAATCACATCCAGCATTGTGCAGTTGGTGATATTGCTGAATCAAGATATGAAAGTGATCCATCAAGTGGTTCAATTGAAACAAACACTGCAAACCATTCAATCAATGTTGGAAATTGTGTTGGAATACTGACCAGACAAAACTTTGAGTAAAATACAAGTCAATATACAGTAATGCTGTGTATACTATGTATACTGTGGTTAGTGGAAATGATTAGTCGTATCCAATTTCAGATGATGATCAAATAATTCAGACTTGCAAGTATTATGAATTTGAACACATCCAAATTGCTGAAACGTTTGTTACTGAATCTAGAAACCCAGATCCAACAATGACAAATAAGCAGCGTCAAAACAGAAATCAATTGGATGCATTATCAACAATTAGTGAACATGAAAACAACAAAACATATGACATATGACAGGACATTTCAAACAACTTGTTTTCTAGAGCAACTATAAATGCCATTCATTGACTCGATCAAAAACTACAACAATTACTTGCAATGCATTCAAATTGGCATCCATATTTGACATCCATATCCAGTTCAACAACAGGGAGCGTCAAACAAGTGGTATCATGATTACTATTCACAAAACAAGCAAATCGGACAACAGCGCTGTC